TGGACCATGCTGCTGCTAGCAGAGGTTCTAGGGAACATGAGGACTGCAAGTAGTTCAGGGAAACTAACCACAGAGAGAAAAGAAAGCTTAAAATAACAGAACTATGCACTATCATGCAAGAGTATGCAGTTATAAGTCTTTACTCTTTGGGTGGAAGATCCTTTGGCATTTGATCCCCATGAAGGCACACCTGGGAAGCATGGCTCTTATTGCTATCCTGAATCGCTCTAAATTGTGTGGTAGTTAGGGACATGTATTGTGCACTTGACTTTTGTGCAGGCAGCCATACAGTAACATCACTGAAAGCCACACAACCAAGTACAATATATCTCATGGTAATATGGGTTGAAGATGGGTGTTTGTGAAGAATGTATAAGCACAAGTAACGTGTGGGTAAGGAGTGCATTGAGCTGTCATTTTGCACTGGCTTATCTGTGGTAGGAATACTACCACTGGTTTCAGTCAGAGAAATCGTAGAAAATAAGGGCTGAAAACGACCTTGAAAGATCATTGAATCCAATCCCCCCTTGCTCTGGGCAGGAATACTGCTGAGATCAAATGATCCCAGCAAGGTGTGTGTCCAGTCTCCTCTTGAAGACTTCCAAGTTTGGGGAGTGCACCACCTCTCTGGGAAGTCTATTCCAGATTCTGTTCACTCATAGAGGGCAGGACCCACTGGAAGGACCCTCCTGGGGAAGCATCCCAGGGTCATGGCACCAAAAAGTGCCATGTGCCTAAACCAAGAACCTTCTTCTGCAAGATGAGAAATTTAAACCAAACATTTAAAAGGTTTTGGAATTCCACTCTGAAACTACTTGGTGCAGATGAAGATGGCGAGGGTAGCTGGAGAGAGTTTAGAAAGTGCAGTTAGGTAATATTGTGATTGATCAGTAGCTTCTCTCACCTCATAATGACTACATTTTAAAGTTCTAACATTCATACTGTTTTCTTTTTCTTTGCTTAAGTGTGCTAACCATTTTCACTGCTTTTTTTTCCCCCCTCCAAGACTATGGTTACTTGTAATATCTAAATACAACTTTCCTTTGTTCTGCTCTTCAAGTAAAGTGAGACAGTTCTCCACAGCCAAGAATTAGCTAGGTAACTACTGGAGCACTCCTGGCATGCTTGGAATCAGTAGTTACAATCCGTGTACACCAATAAACAAATGCATTCATATTTCTGTGATGTGATGTTGTGTCGAGCATTTCAAAGTCATTGTTTGGTTACTATTTTCATTATTCATTGGGCCTCAACCTCTTCTACATGGTGGTTTTGATGTGTCTATCATTTGCTTTTAGGTAGATAATGCTTTTCTTTCTTTCAGAAGCTCATTTGGGCTTCTGTAAGAACATAGTAGCCCTATATCCAAAGGGAATCTGAACAGATCTTTCCTTACAGAAAAGAAGAGCTGCACTTTGTTATGCTACTGTCCTAATATATCAGTGTATTTTATTACTCAAGGTTTGTTAAATCTAGTATAGTTCTCTACAGGAACACCAAAATAAATTTGATGTATATATTGGTTTACAGAAATACAATAGTATGCACTAATTATTACAGTGTGTACTGCAAATTATAAGCTAATATACTTTTTTCCCCTCTTGAGGTCTATGTTAAAGAGTGCCTTTTGGTTATGGATGGGCATTATACTTGTAGTGTTAAATATACCCTTGTAACACTAGAAAAAATGAGCATACAGCTGTTCTGGCTGTTTGTAGTACTACAAGGATGTTGAAAGTGGTACTAAATAGTAGTGCTTTCTGAGAGGAACTTCTCTGCTTCATAGCATTATGCATAATACCTGTATAGTTACACCTAGTGATCCAGAGCCTCCTGCATCCCACAATCTTCTACTGTTCTCTCCTGCCATGGAGGGAGGGGGAGTGACTGGCTCCTTGATGGCCTAGTCAGTGGTGAGCTGTGGGATCCTCGTGCTGTGCCATAGTTAGGACAGCCAGCAGAGCTTGAGCTTGGCCACCCACAGTGGCTGTGTCCTTGCCTGGTTCCACCAGTTGGCTGGCCACAGGGTTTCTGGGGCTGATTGGTGAAGTCAGGCAGGTGGGGACTCTGCCAGTAGTTCATTAACAGCTTGCCCTCTTCCCTGGCAGGGGAAAAGGCAGCCTGCCAGTGATTGGGTTCTCAAAGGCACAGGTAGGGCACTGCCAGAAGTAACATTTGTCACAATTGGCCCCCTGAAAGCACAGCTGCAGAGTGCTTTAAAAGTGGCCAATTGTTCAACAAATTAATACTCACCTAACAAGGGATCAGATGATGGTACTCCAAAGTGGAGCACCTTAGGGAACATGTATTCCCTAGGGTCAGTCTGCTAGTGTGATCAGGGTTCAGCTGATGAAACCCAGCCCCTGGTGTTGTCTTCAGGAAGGGAGGCGATGGAGCTTCTGGCTGGGTTTGCTGAGCTTAAGTGGAGGGTGGGTGGATT